GCCAAATGATGGTGGCAAATAAAAAACCATATATATTTGTTGGATGTGTTCCCAATAGAGACTTGGCTACTGAGCCGTGGACTAGGGGTAACAATTGAGCTTAGCTGATTGCAAGCAGCTCAATTTTGGCTCAAACTTGGCTCGGAATTAGTCGAGTCGAGTTTGAGTAGTCATTCGAGTTGAGTTTGATCACAGTAGAACTCGAACTCGATTAAAGTTTGAATACTTGAACTCGATTGAAGTTTATATTCTCAAACTCGAATAATGGAACTCGAATTCAAATTTTAGGTATTGAGTTTGAGTTCGAACTCGATTTTTCAGGCCCGAATTTGAACTCGAATTCGGTATTGTAGCATTAATCTCACAATTAATATGTTAAAATTGATGCGATGATGTAATATAATTGTATATAAATGCCGTAGATATATGACTTTCCTATACTCATAATGTGGCAGTATATGGCCTCTCCACGAGTTGCTTATCTTGTCACATATCTTCTTGCTCTTTAATTTGGAGAAGTCAATTATACGCTATCGTGATTACGGTAGCATGACGATAAATAACCAAAGAAGAATCAAATGCCCATAAAATGAACATGGTTTACGCAAACCAGTGTGAGACAATAATAGGTGCTAAAGAAACCGAAGAAAGAGAACCTATTATGAAACCAATAACGCTCAAGAATAGAAACTGCGAGAAATTTGTATAAGCTTCTACAAACGCAAAGCCGAATGACGGTGGCCAATAGAAAACTATATATATTTGTTAGATATGTTTTTAATAGAGACATAGCTACTGAGCCTTGGACTAGGGGTCAAAATCAAGCCAAGTGGCTCGCGAGCGGCTCGATTTTGGCTCGGCATTAGTCGAGTTGAGTTTGTGTTTGAGTAGTCATTTGAGTCGAATTTGATCATAGTAGAGCTCGAACTCGATTAATGCTCGAATATTAGAATTCGATTGAAGCTTGTATTCTCAAACTCGAATGTAAACTCGAATTCCAATTTCAAGTATTGAGCTCGAGTTCAAACTCGATTTTTCAGGCTTGAAATCGAATTCGGTACGATAGCGTTATATATTCTCACAATTAATATGTTAAAATTGATGCGATGATGTGATATAATTTTCTATAAATGTCGCAGATATATGACTTTCCTATACTCCTAATATGACAGTATTTGACCTCTCCACGAGCTGCTTATTTTGTCACAAATCTTCTTGCTTTTTTTGGAAAGCCAATTATATGCCTCTATGATTACGGTGACATGATGATAAACAAAAAAAGAAGAACCAAATGCCTATAAAATGAACATGGTATATACAAACTAGTGCGGGATGATAATAGATGCTAAAGAAACCGAAGAAAGAGAACTTGTTATGAAACCAATAATGCTCAAGAATAGAGACTGCGTGAAGTTTATATAAGCTCTTGCAAAAGCTAAGCCGAATGATGGTGGCGAATAAAAAACCATATATATTTGTTGGATGTGTTTCCAATAGAGACTTGGCTACTGGGTCTTGCACTAGGGGTGAAAATCGAGTCGAGCCGCTCGAGCTCAGCTTGATTTTGGCTCGAGCTTGGCTCGTCATTAGTTGAGTTAAGTCCAGTCAAGTCTGGTCTGAGTTTGAGTAGTCATTTGAGTCGAGTTCGATCATAGTAGAACTTGAACTTGAACTCAAACTCGATTAAAGCTGGAATACTCAAATTTGATTGAAGCTTATATTCTCGAACTCGAATAAAACTTGATTATACAAACTTGAATTTGAACTCGAATTTCAATGTTACGTATCGAGTTCCAGTTCGAACTCGATTTTTTCAGGTTCAGACTTGAACTCGAATGTAGCGCTAAATATTCTCACAATTAACATATTAAAATTGATGCGATGATGTGATACTTTTTTATATAAATGTCACAAATATATGACTTTCCTATACTCCCAATATGACAGTATTTGGCTTCTTCACTAGCTGTGTATACGCTTCCATTAATACAGTGGCATGATGATAAACAACAAAGGAAGAACTAAATACCTATAAAATGAACATACTATACGCAAACCAGTGCGGGACGATAATAGACGCTAAAGAAATTGAAGAAAATGAACCTGTTATGAAATCACTAACGCTCGAGAATAGAAATGGTGAAAAGTTTGTATAAGCTCCTACAAATGCAAAGCCGAATGATGGTGGCAAATCGAAAACCATATATACTTGTTGGATGTGTTTCCACTAGAGACTTGGCTATTGAGCCTGGACTTAGGGTGAAAATCGAGTCGAGTTTCTCGTGAGTGGCTTGAGCTCAAACACAACTCAGCTTTAGTTGAGTTGAGTCGAGTTCTAGTTCAAGTCAAGTTTGATCACATTAGAACTCGAACTTGAACTTGATTAAGGCTCGAATACTCAAATTCAATTGAAGCTCAAATACTCGAATTCGATTGAATTTTGTATTCTCGAACTTGAATAAAACTCGATTATACGAACTCAAATTCGACTCGAATTCCAATTTTAGGTATCAAGTTCGAACTCGACTTTTCATACTCGAACTCGAACTCGAACTCAGTATTGTAACGCTCAATATTCTTACAATTAATATGTTGAAATTGATGCTGATGATATGATATATTTTTATATAAATGTTGCAGCTATAGGATTTTCCTATACTCCTATATGGCAACATCTGGCCTCTTCATGAGCAGCTTATCTTCTCATAGTTCTTCTTACTCTTTTGGAGGAGCCAATTGCTCCTCCGTGATTATGGTGGCATGATGACAAACAACAAAGGAAGAACCAAATGCCTATAAAATGAAGATGGTGTACGCAAACCAGTGCGGGACGATAATAGATGCTGAAGAAATTGAAAAAATAGAACTTGTTATCAAACCAATAATGCTCAAGAATAGAGACTGCGAGAAGTTTGTATAAGCTTCTGCAAATGCAAAGCCAAATGATGGTGGCAAATAGAAAACCATATATATTTGCTGAATGTGTTTCCAATAGAGACTTGACTACTAGCCTTGGACTAGGGGTGAAAATCAAGCTGAGCGGCTTGATCTTGACTCGATTTTGGCTTGAACTCGGCTCGATGAGTCGAGTTCGAGTAGTCATTTGAGTTGAGTTCGATCACAATAGAACTCGAACTCGAACTAGATTAAAGCTTGAATACTCAAATTGATTGAAACTCAAATACTTGAATTCGATTGAAGCTTGTATTCTCGAATTCAAATAAAACTCGCCTAAGACCAGATTATACGAACTCGAATTCCAATTTCAGGTGCTAATATTCTCACAATTAATAATTTAATATTGATGTGATGATATGATATGATACATTTTTATATAAACGTCACATATATATGACTTCCCTATACTCCTAATATGATAGTATCCGGCCTCTCCACGAGCTACTTATCTTCTCATATATCTTCTTGCTCTTTTGGAGAAGCCAATTATATGTCTTCGTGATTACAGTGGCATGATGATAAACAACAAAGGAAGAACCAAATGCCCATAAAATGAACATGGTGTACGCAAGCCAAATGCTTGAAATCATGAACGCGTATAATTGAAGAAGCCAATTATATGCCCCCGTGATTACGATGGCATGACGATAAACAACAAAGGCAGAACCAAATGCCCATAAAATCAATATGGTGTACACAAACCAAATGCACGTAATCACGGAGGTGTATAGTTAGAGAAGCCAATTATACACCTCCGTGATTACGGTGGCATGACGATAAACAGCAACGAAAGGACCAAATGCCCATAAAATGAACATGGTGTATGAAAACTAGTGCGGGACGGTAATAGGTGCTAAAGAAATCAAAGAAAGAGAACTTGTTATAAACCAATAATGCTCAAGAATAGAGACTGCGAGAAGTTTGTATAAGCTCCTGCAAATGCAAAGCCAAATGATGGTGGCAAATAGAAAACCATATATATTTGCTAAATGTGTTTCCAATCGAGACTTGGCTACTGAGCCTTGGACTTGGGGTGAAAATCAAGTCGAGCCGCTCGAGCTCGACTTGATTTTGGCTCAAACTCGGCTCGACATTAGTTGAGTTGAGTTCTAGTTCAAGTAGTCATTCGAGTTGAGTTCGATTATAGTAGAACTCGAACTCGAACTTGATTAAAGCTCGAATACTTGAATTCGTTCGAAGCTCAAATACTCGATTTCAATTAAAGCTTGTATTCTCGAACTCGAGTAATGAAACTCAAATAAAACTCGACTAAAGCTCAATTATACGAACTCGAATTCCAATTTTAGGTACCGAGTTCAAGTTTGAACTTGATTTTTTAGGCTCGACCTTGAACTAGAATTCGGTACAGTAGTACTCAAGTCGAGTTTGACTAACCAGATACTCGACTTGACTTGACTTGATGATACTCGACTCGAATCTACTCGATTTCACCCCTACTTCATGCTATCCCTACCGAAGATGTCGAGGTGGACCTCCACTCTGACATGGGATGGCCCATGCTTCATTCCCAATCCTCTCGTCCTCCAGATCTGCCAGCGCCTAAAAGTAAGAAGAAAGGATGATGATCTTAGTTTCTTGTTTGTAAAGCCTGCACGCTCTCTTTGGGCATTTGTGCCTCTTTTTGTGTTTTTGTTTTCGAGCTTGCATGCTCCTTTATAGGCATCTATGACTTTTTATTTGAGCTTGCATGCCTTTGAGATAGGGGCCTGTGTACCTTTGTCGTTTTAGTTTGTGTTAGCCTATGGGCCATTTGCATTACTTTGTAACCTTTTTCTTTTTTGTTATAAAACTTACTTACCCAAAAAAAAAAAAAAAACACCTATTCTGTTTTTTTAATCCAAATAGGATAATAGAAAAATGATTCAAAAGAGTGAAACAAAAGGCAAATGTTCTTTTCTATGTAGATGAGCTTAATAGCCACTTATGTAATTTCTGTACCGGTGCGCTGAACCGACCAAACTGCAAACCGTTCGGGTCGCATGAACCGGACAAAATAGAAAGTGACCTGGTCGAGGGCATGGATATTTCGACCTATCTTTGATTCTGAGCAATTTTTCAAAAATTAAACTCACCGTTTCAATGACGCTTCCAAGAAATACTTTCACCATAGCAAAATAGAAATCAAAATCAACAAAGAGCATGGCGGGTGGATCAACGACTCGGGTTAAACATGATGCTTCGTCTCTCAAAATTTTCAGAAATCCGAAAATCGCATTCGCTTTTGGTTTAATATTGGCGGATGCACTTCTCGTTGCTCTTATTATCAAATATGTCCCATGTAAGATCAATTTCTTTTCTAACTCTTCTTCTTTTCTGTGATATTGTATCTTCTTGTAATTGTTTTTCTGAATAATTGCAGATACCAAGATTGACTGGGACGCTTACATGGCACAGGTTTTACAACATTATTATTTTTTATTTTTTTCTGAGTTGAGTTCAAAAAATCACACCAATTCTTAGTTTGCTCAAGTCTTGATATGGTTTGCTGTAATTAGGTAAGTGGGTTTCTCGGAGGAGAAAGGGATTATAAAAATTTGAAAGGGGACACAGGGCCTCTGGTATATCCAGCTGGCTTTCTATATCTTTATTCTGCTATTCAGTATATTACTGGAGGGAAAGTCTATTCAGCTCAGGTAATCCTATTCTTCCTCGCATTTTAATTGTCGAAAATACTAATTTATCTATGGCCCAAGTGCAATTCTGATCCTCCACGGCCAGTATTATCAGTGTCTTAGAGGAAAGTTACTAGCAAATCCATAGAAACTATACTTGATTGGGTATTTTTCGAGTTCAAAACTTGTTTCCTTTGCCTCTAATATTTGTTTGGCTTTTAATGTATCCATATTGAAAATTGTAGGTTGTGCTCTCTTATATGCTTACATAATTTTCTTTTTGGTTGTGGTTGCAGATTCTTTTTGGCGTTTTATATTTTATAAATCTGGCAATTATCTTATTCATATACGTGAAGACCAATGTGGTATGGTAACTTACTTGCATTTGTAAATATGTTGTGCTAGTTAATTTGCCTTAATAGAATTCTGCATGCCACTGATGTGTATGCAGCAGTGATATATGTATTAAGTACATATATGTTAGTTAATGAATGAAGTCTACGTGAAAAAGGGCCAATGTTACATTATATTCACCAGCAAACCAGAGAATGAACTTCGTGAGCAGCAGAATAGATTTAGGGGCCTAACTGCTAAGATCTTGTGGAGGCAATAGTGTAAATTGATGTTACCTTGCTTTTACGATGTTGGTAATGTGATTTTAATTTAGTGGCTTATATGAGCTATTGTGAAGAGTGAAATGAGCTATTTTAGTTATAGCTCACATCATTGTCTGTTTTCAGGGTATTATTATTCGCTTACCATGTTATGATTTCCGTATTAGGGGTGTTTCATTGTGAGGCTTGTCCTGTGCAGTTCTCTGGTCTCTTAGAGTTTCCACTCTGCCCTCAGTTAGGAAATTTAAGGCCCTTCAGACCCAGGTTTTCTGTGAAATGCTACTCCTTTAAGTTTTAAATTTTTTTGTCTTGGAAGAATATTTCTTGTGTGTAAAAACATTTTTTTTTTTAATCTCTTTGAACCATTTTCAACTTTTTCTTCACATCTTACCATTGATAAATGAGCTTTAGTTTTACGTAACATGTATTGCAGCTACCGTGGTGGGCGCTTAGCTTGCTTTGTCTTTCCAAAAGAGTACACTCAATCTTTGTGCTTCGTCTTTTTAACGACTGTTTTGCCATGACACTCCTCCATGCTGCAATAGCCTTACTTCTTTATCAGAGATGGAATTTGGGCTTGATTGTTTTCAGGTAGTGTTCCATTCATATTGCATGATTAATATATTAAGTGAATTTGGTGTAATATCCCTCTGTATTTGTACAGCACAGCTGTCTCAATAAAAATGAATGTGCTCCTCTATGCTCCACCTCTATTACTGCTCTTGTTAAAGGTAAATTAACTTCAGAGTTCAGATTGGCTATATTTATTGAAGTGTGTACTTAAATCACCTGTAAGAATCACTCAACTCCCTATTTCTTTTTTGGGAACACTTATTTTGTAGGCTATGAGTATTGGTGGTGTGATATCAGCTTTAGCTGGTGCAGCACTCATGCAGGTATCTATCCCATCCCTTTTTGTTTTTTTGGAGACTAATCATCTGTGGATACATGAATTATTTCCTACATTAGGCCTTTTTGAATTCTATATAAGAGATTTTTTAATCTGCAAAAGACCTTACTGTTTTTCCTTCCTGCTGTGGTTAGGTGAGTTGGGCTACTACCGCAATTGACTTTGTTTCCTGGGCAGCCGTTTATTCAATTTGATCACTCATTTCAACATACTTGATGGATGGTTTGGCAGATTCTTTTGGGGCTTCCTTTTATAGCCTCACATCCAATTGCATATATATCAAGATCCTTCAATCTTGGGCGTGTTTTCATCCACTTCTGGTACTTTTCATTTGGCATTTATGGTCTGGAAGATTTGATGGTTTCTTATTGATTGTTATTATTTATTTGAGCTGGTTGAATGTTGTGATCAGATATAGCTTTTGGATTTGTCTTTTCAGGTCTGTTAACTTCAAGTTCATTCCAGAACCACTTTTTGTGTCAAAGGGATTTGCAGTTTCTTTGCTGATCGCACATCTTGTGTTACTTGTAGCTTTTGCTCATTATAGATGGTGCAAGTAAGTAAAAGGGGCTCTTGTTCTCCATTATGATTGATGAGTGTTAAATTGCAATTTTCTTGATAATCAACATGCTAAGTTTTCCAACTGTAAAAATAGTAATGGGGAAACTATTGCCTTGCGTTTGGAAGAGCTCATATCGTTGTATGTTAAAATGTGATGAGTACTACTATCTGTCCATTAAACTGTGAGGTGCAATTCTTCTGAGATGCTGCTTATAGATGGATAGTTGGGCTGACTGGGGCATGTATATCTAGATGGAAATACTTAGCAGATGCATCATTTGCCAATGTTTTTCTGTGTCTGGTTCTCTGCAGGACTGAAGGAGGACTTTTCAATTTTTTGCACTCCAAATATGTCTCTCTAAAGCTGAAATTTGCTCTTTCAAGTTCTAGCAGTTCATCATTTAGGATCCTGAAGAAAGAATGTAAGTACTGTCATCCAAAATGAATTAATCAGTTTCTTGAGAGTATCTTTTTCTTTGACCTATGTTCTCCTTCTTTTTGGGGATATGATTTCAGATATTGTAACGACTATGTTTGTTGGGAACTTTATTGGCATAGTGTGCGCTCGCTCATTGCATTATCAGTTTTACTCGTGGTATGTGGCTCTTTTTTTTTTTTTTTTTGTGGACAGAAAACTTCAAAGCTGACTGAATTCAGAAGTCTATCATTTGAAGCCTGATGTGATTTGATTTGTAGTATTATAGATTGTTTTTAGTTGGTTGATGTTCAGCTATTATTCTTCAAATTTATGTTCCAATGACTTGAGATTAGTGGTTCTATTTCTTTTTTTTTTTTTTCATATGTTTTGTGTTGAATTTGCTAGAATAATTTCCATGGATTGCTTGAATGTGCATGCAAATGTCATTTTTAGAATGATGGAATAAGATAATAGTAAAATTGCGATTTGAGGTCAAGCCTCTTTGATTTTAACTGGAATTGCACTGATTCCATAATGTCTTCTTGTGCAGGTATTTCTACAGCTTGCCTTACCTGTTGTGGAAAACATCTTTTCATACATTGCTTCGGTACATTGCTGACATTGCTCCCTAATTAATATTTGTTTAACAACTTCTACCGCATATACTCACAATTCCATTCTTGTGTTGTGCAGTTTGATATTGTTTATAGGAGTGGAATTGTGCTGGAATGTCTATCCTTCAAACATTTATTCATCTTTTCTTCTTCTGTGTCTACACTTAATTATACTGTGGGGATTATGGTCAGCTCCTCCCGAATATCCTTATGTAGAGGATAAGCCTTCAAGTAGAAAGAACAAATGAACTTGCAAGGGTTGATATTCTTCTCCCTACTGTGAACGAATCATACAAAATAGTTATTGAAGGATAACAGACAAATGTTATTAACTTTTCTCATTTTTGTTACGTTGTATTTTTTAGATATTATTGTTACACACGAGTAACTAGTTAAAGGCTAATCTCTACTATATTTGCTTTTCTTATTTGATGTATTTGTGGTTGAATATTGCCCAAAAGGGGAAATAAAAAAAAAAAATAATAATAATAAGAAAAAGGAAGAAAAGAGTTTCTAGGCTACGGTTTTAAAATTCAAATCAAATGGCGCTCCCTTAGCTATGCTTCAAGCTATTTGAAATTTAAAGGATCTTTAAATGAAAATGATCAATGACAGAAATACCCATCTTGGCTAGTTGCTTCTTGCTTTTACATTATTCATAAAACTTCCATTATATTGACAGATAAATTTTTAATTTCACTAAAACAAGTAAAATTCTTTGAGGATTCACGCTCACATCTAAAATCCATAAACTTCTAAATTTGTAATTAGTCTCATATAATTAAAGATTGAAGGAATATTATTGTTTACGCTACCGTCTTTTTTATTTTTTGAACGGAAGGGGTACATTGGTAATTACACAAGAAAGGAACCTGTGCGGTTCTCACATAATAAATACAGACGATCATTTCCTACTCCCCCGTCATCGGCACTTGAATTGAGATTGAACGCAAACGCATCGCATCGAATCCACTGAACGGAAGAGATCCACTCGTGAACAATGGTAAGCCTTATTCCTGCTAATTCTCAATCCTATATAAGTCGTCCAACTCGATTGTGATTTGTTTCATTTGTGGTTAAAGTTGTAATTCGCATTGTATAATTAGGGTTTGATAACTTTTTGGTTTAGAATTTCGAATTGTTTGGATCTGTTTTCACTCCACACATGGTGATGTTTTCGGTGTAGAATGTAATGTTCAGTTACAAAATCTGTTCACTCGTGATTTTCTTTTTCTGCATTTTCAAAACTGCTATTTTATATAGTTCATTCTTTACGATTAAACTAATTTAAATTTTGTTGAGCATTTAAGATTGGGTTTAGTGTTGATTTCTAGTTTCAGTTTTATATTCTTGTTCAAGTTTGCGCAGTTAAATTTGAAGCGGCGGCTAGTCCTATCTCTTTGTTTTGGAATATTTCTTTTTGAATGCACTAAGTGGTTGTTTGTTGGCAGGACGGGCATGATTCAGAAGATCCAAAGCAGAGTACGGCTGACATGACTGTTTTTGTGAGTTCTTTAATTCATATAAACGATTCATTTAGTACTTGAAGTCTTTGGTTGAAACTATAATATAGACATTTGGGTATTATTCTTATAACCAATTTACACAGATTTAATTTCAGGTCTTAATACTTCAAAAACTTTTGGCTTCACACATTGTGCTATGATTCACTTAAGAGTTATGATTGATTGTCTTTTATTTGCTATAAATGATTGAGCTAGTGCAAGGCTCTGCAATCTTGTTACTTTCAGTGGGATTGTCTAGATGGGGCTTCGGTAATTGACTTGATTGCTATATTTTTTCTTTTCAGGTGCAAAATCTTCTTCAGCAGATGCAATCCAGGTTTCAGACAATGTCTGATTCCATTGTTACAAAGAATATCCTTTTCTCTTATATCAAATTTTGATGGTAATAGCTAGGAACATCAAATAAAATTCACTTTTTCTGTTCATATTAGATTTCTGTGTGTTGTGTTTAATTTGTTTCTTCAAATTTATTGAGTATTCACAATGAGTTGTCAATAATTTTTAGCAGAGTTTTAAACATTTTTGTTGCCCATATACATTTTAAATTTTGAAAAATATGCAAACAGATATTCAAGGTAAGTTAGGTAGTGTAAACGACAGTTGTTGCATGTTATGGTCTAAACTCTAGAGAAGATGTCCTTGAACTAAAGAGTAGTAACTATGGTAGGGATGAGGTTGAAAACCTCTTTGTGTTCTTGGTTTTATCATACAAGGAAGAAATCATTGGGTTCCAATTTGGATTCATTTTATTTGCTGTTCTGTTATCTGTGTAATTTATAAGTATATTCTTCTTAAGCATGATTTTAAATTTGGGAGATTAATTGCTTCCTTGACTTCGAAGCACTCGATGAAATGGGAGGCCGCATAAACGAGCTGGAGCAGAGCATCAACGATCTGAGAGCTGAGATGGGAGTAGAGGGTTCTCCATCACCATTGGCCCCATCCAAGCCAAAGCAGGGTGACGGGAGTCAAGATGAAAGCTCTGCATAGAATTAGTAAAAGTTTGTAATTTTGCTATGGAGATAGATTGAACGGCGAGTTATGAGTGCCCCAGCTGTTTTCATATTTGATGTTTCCTGGTTTTTCCTTTGCACTGACAACTGAGAGTAACTATTTCCAATGTATTGCCATTAATTACTGTCACGTGAAACAGCTATGCCATATCATCCATTTACCACCATTTATGTTGATACAGAATTGCTTTTTCTGTTAACTTTTTTGTACATCTTTGTTCATGGAAATGATACTTAGGGTGTGACTTTAATCAGTTTATCCATGGATAACGAACTCAAAAGGTTTTAACCGAATCTATGCTTTTAAATATCTATTCCGATAGTCATTTTAATCTTAATTCATAAGAAGCAAAGACACGGTTGCCTATTGATCATTGTGCTGAATTATGATTTGGTTCATGTTTTGTGCTCTGCAACGAGTGGGAAGCCCTTTCTAAGACAGATCTATCATTCTATCCTATATGCGGGTGTTCAAAAGCGGTTAACCGGTATTCCTATACTTCAGATTGTGGGGGGCATCTTGTGGTCGACTCGGCAGTCGGCACACACAGATGGGTTGGCTTCCTGTGAATTTTATCTTACTTTGTACGATACTTGGAAGGTGGAGGTTTTTTTTTATAAAAGTCAAAGATGAGAAGTGGAGTTTATGTTTTGCTGGAAGCAGAACTATTGGATCATTTTAACCATGTTTCTGAAACGGAAATCAATTCACAGGTAATAGGCTCAGTCGTAGAAAGAGAAAAGAAAGTCTGAACAAATAATAGAAACAGTCATTTGGGCATGACAGTAATGGAGAGACACCATGTGAGTACATATTCTTCCATCCAGGAGTTACTAAATCCTCTTAATTATTCTACTAATTCTATTTTACAAATGAAAAGCAAATATGATATAAGACACAGAAAACAAGCAACTTAACTACGGCAACGCGTAATTTCGGTGCAGCCACGATCGTAGGGGTTAGCCTCCGCACCAGTTTGGCAGTTGTAGTAGGAAGCACCCCTTTGAGAACAAGGCACAGTGTCTCGCTGCAGCGCTCCATAGCTTATGTACTGTGTTGTGGCCAATACACGGCGGTTGATCTCAGTATCCATTTCAAATTCATCCTTAGCCATGCACTCAGCTATGGATCCTTGGCAACGTCCTTTGATGGCCATCCAACTCAACTCCTGCTCACCACTTGCATCCACGCTCCTCCACGACATTGCCAGTCCTACAAGGACCAGGCAAACCATCAAAACCAAACCAGAGGCTCTTGCCATTGTAGTGTTGTGTCCTTCCAACTTTCGTTCTATATTGTATTTGTATTTATGTATGATACTTGGGACAAGACAGCGAGCCGGCCATTACTTTTAAAACAATTCTCACTTAAGATAGTGACATTGTTTTTCCATATATTTACCACATATGCCATTTCGCTTCGTTCATTTTTATTTAGTATTTATCACAATTCGTTTGTTGATTTCATAATTTAACAAATGCACGTTAAATTGAAATTTGTTAAAATCATGTCCTCAAGTTGGAATCTTTGAAGTTCGGTGATGGCAGTTGTGTAATTAAATTGAGAAGGAGGCATAAGTTTAGAGTTGACTAATGGAGGAGGAATATGGATGGGTGCTTATTCTTGGTCTTGCTCAACAAACTTCTACAGTTGGCCTGTCCCAATCGAGATTATATATTGGTTTAGAGGAAATACCTAACACAAAGAACAATTGTTAAGTGAATTGAGAAGTCATTTCTTTGATAAGTCTGATTAGTTTAATGACTCTAATACCAGTTCAAACCCGCTCTTATTGCTGTGAAAGAAAGCTGGATTCTTGAATATCACCCTGATTCTGACCTCTTCAAAACCTACTCTACTAATACAACCATAAATAAATAAATAAATAAAATGACCTCATAATACCATGCATGCATATGAAATAATACTTAATATGCATTTACGCAAATGTCAAAGTTGAATTGGTTCTGGAAGGACCATTTCCTTTTTTAAATGTAAAATACGAACCTCATGGTTTCTCTAAGTCCTATCATGTTGTATGAAACGAGAACGACGATGCCCAAACCAAACCCACGCTTAATAAAAAGATGTGTTTAACTTAAGAAGCAACTGCCTCTCTCATCTCATCTGTCTCAAGATCCAATCCCTTTCCCCATCTTGCCTCCTTCAAATTTCACTTCTTTTTAGGTTGGATCCATCAATTATTATTATTATTATTCTATTCTATTCTTAAATTTCTTCTCTAATTAATGGTTTTTGACATGTACACAATTACTTAAACCCAATTTCAATTTTGCCCTCAGACAAGAAAATTAGGAATAATTTTTTGCTTGCAAGAAATAATAGAGTTGTAATCGTGAAGATGAAGCATCTCAATTTGATCACAAAATCAGATGGTTAACTTTTATTTGTTTAAATTTCAGCTTTTCGGATAAAGAGTTAATGACTTTTTCTCACCCAAATAATGATTTAATAATACTTTTCTAATACCACTTTTCCACAAAAAAAAAAAAAAAAAAAAATACACTTCCGATTTGACGGCAAACAAAGAGCGAACTTGATCTATTCTTTTGGGGCTTTTGAAGAGGGAAGGCAAGTGAGTGTTTTGGTGGTAGAAGATTGAATTTAAGTGATCGTGATTGGTTGAAATTTAACTTGAGAGGGATGGCTGCACAAATCTTAATCTCTCAATTGTTTGCGATTGACGGGGTTAATGAGAGTAAGATTTGAGGGTTTTTGGTGAGTGATGATTAGGGAAGAAAATAATAGCGGTGTGAGGTTACTACGATGCTGAAATCGGCTAGCGATTGGTGGGGTTAATAAGAAAATGTCATTAAATGTGTTTTTTAGGTAACAAAGTGACATTTTAGAAGCCTGGCATGAAAAACATCATTAACCCATTACTTGGGTGGGAGAAAGTCGTTTACTCTATGATAAAATGTATAAAATTTAGTAATAATGGTGCCTCGTGTAGTGGCATGTAACCCGAGTACCCATACAGTAAAAGAAACAAATCATGTAAAGAAAACTGAGTTAAATTCCCAAAACAGCAAAAGTTAAAGTTTGGCATATCACAGAGATAGTCTATAAAGAGACGGCATAAACTTAAAACCAAAAAACGTTTACCATGCAATCGAACTCAACAAAAACATGAAATAACAAATATTCATTATAGACTCAAACATAACCAAAATTCAATTATTTTCTACTTAAAAATTTCACCCTTATATATGATTTACAAAGGGGTTCCAAGAGATCAATCTATCTCATTACATCGCTTGTACAAAAGAGAAGACCCCATTAGGCATGAACAATAATATGATATAGAATCACTATAACAATTATAAATACACAAAGAGAATTACTTCTGATTTTTGTTCAAATTTCTCTCTTTCAAGAGTTAGCAAGCAGAAAACTCTTTATCTTTCTAGTTTGCTTAGCAATGCTTCCATGGGTGGCAGCTCTTTCACAATCTGTTGCCAGTCAGGCATGCCCTTCAAATATATCAGAGTTTATTAGTGACAACAGTTATAATATAAAATTATGGACAAAATGCATAAAACCTCATTACAATGATCACAAGAATCTCTTTTAAAAAATTTAGAGCTTGTCACACAACAGATTCTTAATGACCTACGTCATTTGAAATGCAGTTTGCAGATGAAAAAAGGGAAGTCTACGTTCTCAGCAATTTAAAAACTTTTCAGGGTATACAGTTTAGTCTAAGTGGTAGTAATTTACCAAATCTCCCTACCAAGCAGGCTAATAAATAACCAGTTCTATTTCAATTAAAGAAGTAGCACGAGGTCAGTCCACATCCACTCACTTTTCCAGATCTCCGAACTCGACCATCTAGGCGCAGGATTATGTAGACATCCTCACCAGGTGTAACTCCTTCAGACTTTTGTTGATCTCTGATCCACCTAAATCAGTACAGGGAATCTTTAATCAAGGGATATCAAAATTCAAACAAAAAAGAACAGTTGCAAAGTCCATTAAAAAATTTGAGTTCATCAATTATAATTGGATAATTGATAACAATATTTCAAGTTCAACCTCTTAAAGGTAAAGGAAAGCTAACAAAAGGATAACAGATTTATGTACTGCATACAGATGCACCATAAAACAAAATTTTCCAACCAGATAGTAAACAAGTGGTGAACAAGAAAGAGTAGCACCAAACCTTTCCCATTCAGCAGGTGATACAACTTCTGCCCTAAATCGAATTTCAGCTTTCAATTTTGATTTTGCAGTTATTGACTGAGCTCGTTTCTCAAAATCTTCCTGCAGTGTTGATTAACATACAGAGTCAAGAAAGGCAAATGCACATTAGAAAAATGCATCACAATTCTAACCCCCATGTCAAATTCATTACTAGAGAATATACCCTACTTGTTACATTATCCAATGCAATAAGTTGTATATCTAGACACCAAATTTCAGGAGCATCAAAAAGAGAAACAGAGCAAACTTCAGGAACGTAAAGCTATATGTTGAACAAATCTCTTTTACACCATAGAAATATATGATAAATGAAAAAAAAAATTAAAAAAAAAATATTTGAAAGTCTGCTAATGATGTTTGGCCGAGTTTTGACTTTGACCAAGAAATTTTTTGGGGGGCACTAAGTGAAACCATACACCTGATGGCAATTTGAAACACTGTGCATGACATTTTTCTTCACTGATGGGGAATCTCTGTTTCTTACCCCAATAGAAGGAAGAGCAGCAGCTGCCTTTGAACGAAGACCAAAGCCTTTCTTCTCCATCTGTGGTTCCCTACCTTCACCCCAAATGACAGGAACTAGAAGAACACCGCGTCTAAGGAGCTCAGTTCGAAACCTATCCGCTTTCTGTATGGCCAAGGAAACAGTTTCCTTTTTCCCTGCCAAAATAACCTAAACCAAGTCTCCATATGATTAAAAAATTTAACTATAGACAGTGATACGTACAGTTTGGTAAAAAAAGGAACTTTTATCTTAAAGTTACAAATGAGATGCAATCAGGTGATACTTAACAAGGAAAAGAAAACAACAGTTAATTAGAATCTGGATACACAGTAAAATCTTTCTATTTTTGATAATGCAAATATAATATCAAATCTTTCATAAAATCACTAGCAGCCAAGCCACAAAACTTTTTTTATCTACCAGTATCAAAATTCCAACATGTCCATCAATTAGTAGAACAGATATCCAAACCCAAAAATATGAGAACATATAAACATCTCATGCTACTCCTAATGGATAATGAAGCAATAGTCTGAACAGCAGGCAACTCAATAATTAGGACAAATTCTATGATGACAAGAAAAACATAATATTACAGTGTTAAAATAAGAGCGGTAAAAGAAGTGTTGGTACTAACTGGTCTAACAGTGTCTCGCAGCTGCACAAGTTCAACAATGCGATTTGTGGAGAGACGCAGAGGCAACCTTGATAAAGTTTCATCTCTGGATATTTGTGCAAGTTGTTCCTCCTCCTTCCTGTTGTCCCAGAAAAATAATGCCACAAGAACAATGATGCCTGTAGATTGCTGATTCAATAGCTTAGTCATGTTAAAAAGCCATATACAAAGTCCAGTGTATCTAATTCAATTCCGCTCACCAAAGAAAAATTAGCCACTTATAAAGCATGTCCCCAATAAACATATTAAAAACACTAACAATTTGGGTAATATTAAATATACCCTAAATTACCCCCCAAAAAAAATATTAAATATACCCAATGACAAAATATATCATAATTATAGCACAATCTACTACTTTACCTCCAACATTAATGGCAGCATTTTCAGCAGTTTCTAAAAGATTCGGAGCATCATCACCACCTTGAATCGCACGAATTAGCCTGGGTATGGTAAAGAATAAGGAGATTCCAGCAGCTGCAGAGAATGCCACATAAAAAAATCTCCTAACCCCACGGAATGGAGCCTGGACTTCACTGATGAGTTTGAGATCCCTTCGAAAACTGTAACCTATATCTTCCCCACCCAGCCTAGCCTGTAAGCATAACAAATAATTTCTAGATATACCAGTTGCAGTTTCAATAACCAAATGAAGTTATGGATTTAAAGATTCTATTGCTTTCAGCATCCAAGAAACTAAGAAAATGTATAGATGAGAAGCAATCTTTAACTCTACAGAGCAAGTTGAACTAAAGCTTCCAGCTGGTAAAATAAGTAGAAATTAACAAATACAGCAGCCCAAATGACAGACAAACCTCTTCCTGCAATTCCTTGAATTCGGGCAAAGCTCTAAAAGAGGCCAAGTCAGGATCATTTAGAATTGTGCCAAATTTCAGGTTATACTCTCTCAATGCAGTACGTAGACAGTCAGCAGCTTTCTTTCCTTCCCCTCTTCCTCAAAGTAAAAACAAAAATCAAAATTCCAAAGACAAAACTAGAGAAGGAAACAAACCAAGATCATGTTTACATGGTGTTTTTGTATGAGGAAGCTGAGACATTTGTAGATACGCTTTTGCTATGTTTGACTCACTAAAGGCCTTTTCCTGAAAGATAATAACTAATTTTAAGTTTTAGCAGAAATGCTCTATTTTTTCATGATGACTAATCTTAAGTTTTAGCAGGGATGCTCCATTTTTTCTTGGGTAGTTTGGCATGAGAGAAGGAAGCATAAAATTTGACGGACTTTTAAGCTGAAGCTCATATAAGTTAATAAAATTTACATGAGATCATTCTTTTTTCCACGAAGAGACATTGCTTGCACTTAAGAGACATTGTTTGTCACTTGGGAAACAACAATAATCAGCCTTAGGGAACATAATAAATAAAAAAACACATTGAAAAACCATACATATCCAGGAAAGAAAGGTAGACTTAATACCGGTATGCATGACAACAAGCTTTGTTATATAGAGCAGCTTGAGCCTCCAATGGGTTGGGATCTAAACTAAGAGCTGTTTCAAATTGTATTAAGGCGTCTTTAACCTGTAAAATCCACAATCACAGACTTGATATTAAATTCATATACAGTTTTATACAGTATGATAAAGTTCCACGTCATAAAAAACAGATCGCTAGAAAAGTTTCGCTAAATATAAGTATCTAACAATCAGTCAAAATAATTAAATAAAAGCATAGCACGCAAGGACATGCTATTGCTGACATTGAAGAACCTGAAATGAGTTCAATTATACGACTGTCTCACAAATGTAACTATTACAACAATATTCTCTTGGCAAGCAATTGAATCATGAGGAAAAAAAAAATCTTCAATACTGTTCAGATTCCATAAAGCTTAGCAAGAAAATAGTCCACATTACATACCAGATACAAAATACTGGATAATGTAAGGCCTACATGAAGAAGGCTAGTGATAAAAAAAAAACCAACTATTTACAGGTCATGCATTTTAGAAACTGGTGCAAAATATTATTATGAAATAACAGAAAAAATATTGTTATGAAATGACAGAAAAAGCTAAGTATTCCACAATCATTTCATAGATTTGATAAAACCGCTGATTTCAACCACTGAGTGATTACAATTGCGATAAAATGTGAACGAACATCAATGTTGGACAAAAAATCCACAAACCCACGTCACAGAACCACAATTAGAGTCCAAAAATTTGGAAATAAGGAATTGTAAAGATTGAAATAGTGAAAGTATAAGTACATACTCGTCCATTTGAGAATAGAGAGAGGCCCAGATTGACACAAGACTCAGCTGTTTCTGCATTGGTTTCTGAAGACGGAGAAGTAGAAGAGGAAGAAGAAGAAGAAGAAGAAGAAATGAAAGAGGCATGAGTCTTCTTTAGAGAATTGAAAAGGGTAGTAGAGTTGGGAAACCATGGTTTTGCTGTAGTTGTAGTTCTTGTTTTTGTTGAAGTTGAGAAGCAGAGCAGTTGCTGGCTTAGAGCAGCCACAGCCATTCAGTTTCCCACGTACCTCCACCAAATACGCTTTATCTCGACTCTTTCCAGACATTTTGTTGTGCTTCCAGTCCGAAACGACAGCGGATTGCTTTCCTACGGCAAAGACCGTTATTAAGTCACGTCACAACTATTTCCATTTTCGAGTTGTTAGGAATTTTTTTTTGTTTTTTAACGGCCGGTTGCTTGATTCAGTTACGTTTACGTATACTTCAATTAATATTTCGTAATCATGAAACTATTATTCAGATAATAGTTTTAGTACCTACTTCTATTAACAATCGAGAATAAATTCAAATTCAAGATCTATTAAACTTCCTATCGAATCAATTGAACACTTAAAAATAATTGTTGTTATTATAAAAATTTGGGAACAAACAATACTCCTTATGGTAGATAGATAAATTGGAATGCTAATAATTAATTTCCTTTCTCAAATTGAATACACATATAAAGAGTTTTGAGATTAAGGTTATGGTGATCCATTAAAAATGATTTTACCATTCACATTTCGGTATTAATAAATCTAACAATGTTTTCCCTATAATCCAACTTGCTTATTAGCTTAGGTTTATCAGGAAATGATGTGGAAAGACCTTCAACTGAACTCCGATCCGGAGGCTGTTTTGGGCCATGGAAAATTGAAGAACCTGTAACCAAAATTTTGGGCTAAAAGCCCAAAGATAACAGAAACATAAAATCAAGTTGAAATTCTGAACTATATCTTAACGTTATCAATAATGCAATGGTTGAATGAGGCAATTGCCCTTGCTTTGTCCTATTATTGAAGCTCTTTTTGCAAAATTTTGTATTCCAATATATGTATTATTAATATTAATTATATAATATAAATGTCCATTAATGGAGTTAGAAGCAGTAGTCCCAAATACTGAAACAACGAAATAAATGTGTTTTGATTGTTTCTTTTTTACTCATTATTCTGTGTAATAATATATTTCATCGAAACATTGTAATATGTCTGAGTACATTACAACAACTGTAAATAGGTCACCTACGTCGCTAAATCCAATCCACTTAATGAGCCACACAGTGTGTGGATAATATTCATCCTCCAAAAAAGAAACTACTTTTGTTGTTAAAGTTGGCCGTACAAGCACATTTCATTCATATCTAAATATAATCTTTGAAATATCAATCCGGAATGATTTGATTTTGTACATTCACGATCCTATACAACTTGTTTTGAATATATGATGAATATATAGTTAAGTTAGTTAAACAAAATTTTACAATTATATCTTTACTACTTACGAATCTCCTTCTCTATCTTCCCCGTCGATAACAAACCCTCCATCCTCTTTCCTTGGTCACATAGAGAGAGTCTTACAAGTAATCATCAAATCACATAAAGTCTAGTTTTCAGAAAATTTTATACAGTAACACAAATTTAATATGAATTCAGAAAGGACATATATTTATTGGGATTAGAAAGGTGGTGAGTGTACGGAGAATACTTCCAATGTGGTATTGGAGAACAGCATGATTTAAGATAATGGCACTCTCTCCATCTTTGTGGTTCATCTAGTCATATTGTATAAAGTTTTACTTTCTCCTGCACTATCCCAACACAATTCTTCCTAGGTCAAGCCGCATCTGGATACAATTTTATTTATGCCACTTGCACTATTGACTATTGTATGGTTTTATGCCGGGATTATCATGTGTTCACTCCACCAATTCACGAATTGAAGATCGTAGATGGATATGCCCTGGATATCAATAACTTTGTTGGCTGTGTTTAAAAGACGTCGATTATGAAAGTAGTTAATTAATTTTAATTGATCCTCTTTTGGATAAGGTTATTTTCTTTTCAAGCCCTTTTAGTCTATGGTTATCGATGTCAGTGTACTGTTCGTTGGAATCAAATATTCCTTGGTCATTAACATGGTATTAAGAATAATTTTTCTTTAGTTAACAGGAGCTTTGAATGACCTTTTGATACCTGCCGCAACTTGGTTCATGCATCCATCATCAGTTCATACAATATACCTATCTAATAACTATAATATATTCTTAATTAACATCCAGAGTATAACTATGGAAAGGACTAATGTAGGGTTTCCATTTTGTTTAAATATTCTGATTTTGAGTGAGAGAAAGAGCAGATTCCGTAAAGAACAATATTATATTATTAGCTTTCCAGAGACAATAATAATTAAAAGAGCACTATAAAAGTAGATGGATAATCCGTGATGTAGAACCAGAACCAGATACTGCGATCTTGAAATTTTCTATTTAATTTCCACGACATCTAGCATAAATGGGGTGCGGTATTCATAAAAAGTGCACCAACTAGCTACGCTACCGATGATAAATCAAATAAATCCATGGCATTAAATTGGATTATTTATTGTTTTGTTTACAAGATTATAGTATTATCATTACCGTGTACAATGACGTGGAGATAAAAAAACAAAAGCACATTTCCAATAGAAACGAAAAAAAAAAAAAATTGTGTTATATATAGACTACCAAATTAATCAACAGAGAGTATAGTTACATCCCGTACTTTCCTTCAACCTTGTGCTCATTTCCTTCGGGCACAATCATGGAATATGGGAAGAAACTGGAGTACAAAGGTGAGGAGGCATTAAAGGAGATTGAAAAGCTAACTTCAAAGGCCGATGAAGTACAAAATATGATTTTGAAAGAGATCCTAACCCAAAATGTGGAAACTGAATATATGAAGAAGTATATGAAAGGTTCAAAAGACGTTTCAGAGTTCAAGCGATGCATCCCTGTTATTACCTACAAGAATATTTATCCTTATATCCGGAGAATTTCTAACGGAGAAGACTCTTCTCTCATCACCGGACGACCTATAATTGAAATGTTATGCAGGTACGTAACGATATCTCTTCCCTTATACCTTGTTATTTCTGCTAAACTCTTTATATATGCACAAGGGTGATTTTCTGTGTACATATATATGCAGCTCAGGGACTTCCGGCGGAGATCCTAAGTTGATGCCATCAATAGAAGAAGATCTTGACCGCCGCACCTTTCTCTATAATCTCATCACGCCTATCATGAACCAGTTAAAATTTTACACCCTTTATTTATTATCAGTTTTTTCTCATTCTCTCTTTTTTTTTTTTTTTTTGTGTGTTTGAATCCACATGTAGACATAGTTTCAATATTTACACCAGTTAGTTTTAGTAATCTCTAGAAGGGTACTGAGGAGCTAAACTAAAAGGCTAACTCCTTTTCCCCTCTTGCATAACACTATAACACCTTACTCATGAAAATAATGTTATAAGAAATTCAGTGTCATCGATAATATCGATCATGATATAATGTTATTAAAGCCACATTGATTTGAGAAGGAATCAATTCGGTATAGTAGTGTACTATACATAGTACCAGCGGGAAGAATCTATATGCAAAATATATAATTCTGAATTCAACGAAATTTTATTTGTTTAGAGTATATTGACGTTGAAGTTAAAACACTGGATTCATGAACTTCCTGTACTTACAAGTGCAAGTGGCGTGTAACGCATGATAAGATATCCCGCAAATCATTTTATATATATATCCTTCAGAATTATCAGCAGCATTATCTATACCCATTATCCTTATATATAGTGATCGTAAAAGATCCGCAAAAAAAAAAAAAAAAAAAAAAAAAAAAAAAAAAAAAAAAAAAAAAAAAGCTTTATAGAAGATCACACGATAAGATAACTTTAGCCAGTAATGTTCTAGGCAGGCACTTCTTCTTGATTCCAATAATGCTTATATTGTCATTTCAATCCCAGGTACGTTCACGGCCTAGATGAAGGCAAGGCCATGTTTCTTTATTTTGTCAAGGTTGAAATGTCCACACCTTGTGGTTTACCAGCTCGCACTGTGCTCACCAGCTACTATAAAAGCAAACACTTCAAGTGTCGAACCCGCGACCCATATAACGATTTCACTAGTCCAGATCAAGCCATCTTATGCATTGATAGCAACCAAAGCATGTACTGTCAGTTGCTAGCCGGTCTAGTCCATCGTCATCAAGTCATGAGACTAGGAGCTGTATTTGCCTCCGCTTTTCTCCGAGCCATATCTTTTCTTGAACGTAAATGGATTCAATTATCCAATGATATCCGCTCCGGTCATCTTGACCTTATGATCACAGACCCGGGATGCCGGTCATCAATGATGTCCATACTTTCAACTCCAAATCCAAGTCTTGCTGATGAGATCGAGGAGATCTGTAGCCGTTCATCATGGAAGGGAATATTGTGCCAGCTTTGGCCTAAGGCTAAGTACATTGAGGCCGTGGTCACTGGTTCTATGGCACAATATATACCATCACTGGAGTATTATAGTGAAGGAAAATTGCCTTTGGTGTGTACCATGTATGCTTCTTCTGAATGTTACTTCGGAGTAAACTTGAAACCCTTGAGTCATCCAGATGATGTAGCATTTACCCTGTTGCCTAACATGGGTTACTTTGAATTTATACCCTTGGGAGAGAATGGTACGCTTTTTATGGACATTGATGAAGAAAAGGAGGTGCCCATGGATAAGCTTGTGGATTTGGTGGATGTTAGAGTCGGCTGTTACTATGAGTTAGTGATTACTACTTTTGCTGGTGAGAATATAATCTTTCATTATTCTATCTTTTTGTTAATCATTGCATGTTGCATTATTGTATTAACTATTAATCTTTCTCCCGTTAAAAATATTAATGTTTTAAATGAGACAGGACTATATCGATATCGAATTGGTGATGTACTCCAAGTGACTGGATTCCACAATCAAGCCCCCCAATTCCGATTCATCTGCAGGAGGAACGTTGTTCTGAGCATTGACATTGACAAAACAAACGAAGAAGATCTACACAAAAGCATTACAAAAGCCAAAAAATTATTGGAACCATACAATGCTCTACTCTTGGAATATACTAGCTATGCTGATGCGTCGACTGTGCCTGGACACTATGTATTGTATTGGGAGATTCAACATGTATATTCAGCAATCCCCCTTGATGCAAATGTACTTAAAGATTGTTGCATTGCTGTGGAAGAACAACTTGATTATGTGTATAGGCGATGCCGTGCATACGATAAGTCTGTGGGACCTCTTGAGATACGTGTGGTAGAGCCTGGTACTTTTGAAGCATTGATGGATTTATGCATCAGCCAAGGCAGTTCAATCAATCAATATAAGACCCCACGCTGCATCAAGTCTAATGCTGCGCTTAAGTTGCTTAACTCTCATGTGACGGCATCATTCTTCAGTCCTAGGGATCCAATATGGATCCCTTAAATGTGAATTAGGAATTTGCTTTTATTCTAAGCTGATCATCTTCCCTCTCCTTTCTTACGCTACTTATAATCTTATGAATTTTATGTATTTTGTCTTCTACAGTCAGCAGGACGCCAGTTTGTATTGAAGGCACATTACATTACATGTTGCCGTGATGAATTATGAATACATATGTATTTCCCTTTCTCTTGGATGAATGAATACATTTGTTCACAAGTTTATGATACAGATACAATTTATCTATATTATACTTGCCCTTTTGTTACATATATGGTGATGATCTGATTTCGGACTTCCTAATGTGTATATCCTGGCAATGTACGCAATTCATTAAAGAAAATACGTGCAACAACTGAAACCACATGCAGATTGATTGGCATTAGCTCCAATACAATACAACACAACCATTATGCTTGGGTCACAATTCGATCCTGCAATTAATCATTCAATGTATAATGTCAATAACATAATGCTTGAGTTGTGCGTCATGACATTACCTTTAAGACAGTCCAATCAAAGTTCGTGCTACTGTTGATCATGAAATTTTTAGTTACTACTACCCCACTCCTTGGAAATTTGGGCAGTATACATAGAACGATAGTGCCATAAAGTTCAGTAGCTGACTAACCAGGCCGACATAATTTTCAAGCGTGCCGTAACATGCGCATGCATTTTCCTCTTTTCAAACTTTCAACTCGAATGATGGATCCAGAATATATAGGTGCCTATACCCTAAGTTGTCTATAAAGTTTATTCAGAAATTGTAACAGTAGTAAGAAGTTAATTTTCTACCAACTAATTATATGTGTCCACCTCATCCATCCCGACCCATTTGATTTTTGTTTCAACAAAATTTACGGTTAATGAAAAAATATATTAAAAGGAAAATATATTATCATCAATAAACAAGTGTTTATTCCTCTAAGATTAATTTGAGAGTGAAATTAACCACCACTGACGTTGGATGGTCGGGTGGTCAACTCGGAGATTTTGAGTTCAATCCACCTTGGTTGCTAATAAGGATGACTACTGGAGGTATACTTGATCGTTAATTTTAGTCAATGGTTAACTTCAGGATCTCGAGAGATTAGTTAAGATGCGCGTAAACTGATTTAGACACTTTTAATCATTAAAAAAAAAAAAAACCCATTAATACAGGCTAGGGTTGAGAGAAGGCCCCAGCAATTGTATAAGCGCACATGTTGGAACAAAATACACAGGCAAATTGTGTGAGGTGAGTAGAACATCCATTAGTAGGATTTAGAAGACAAGGCCACAAGGGGCTGTATATCTTTGTTTCTTCATGTTTCAAAAGCATATCAATTGTTTTCTCTTCTCATCTTACTTTCCCCTCACCACATTTAGTGCTTGCTTTTGAGTTGTAACACCAACTAGGACCACTTCAAAACAATTTCATTGGCAACTCCATCAATGAATTAAAAGAAGAAAGCGACTACTAAACCGTTTTGCGTAAAATAATGAGATCATTGATAGAATTTGAGGTGAGTTCGACTCCTCACACAATAAGGCCTTATTGGGTGAGCAGTCATGCCCACCTCAAATTCTATCATGGTATCAGAGCTCATGCTCAGTTGAGCTGAGTATTTGACTAGCGAGTGACGAGTTAGAGCCGACAACTATCTCCAATAACAGGCATGACCTAACATATGAGCTTGACCATGAGATAGAGTGTTAAAGTCCTAGAGAGAGAGTGTTGAAGTCCTACATCAACTAGGCACGCTCAAACCACTAGTTTATAAGAGGGGGTAATTTTCCCATTCAACAAAGCCTTATTGGGTGAGGAGTCAGACACACCTCAAATTATATCATGGTATCATAGTAGATTCAAATTTCCAACATGGTATTAGAGTTTATTTTCTTAAAGGACTCGTGGGAGATGAAACTTGGGGCCTATCATAGCCAAACTATCTTAGACCCGACTCACACCAAGTGCCACAAGGGAGTGGTAGGCAGGGTGGCCACGACGACAAAGGTGTCATTGGATTTGAGTGGGAGAGAGTGTCACGCCGAGCGCCCGAAGCTGATGAAGGTAGGTAGGGTGGTCAACTCCAAAATTCTCACATCAGGCAGGAAGGATGCTCTTGAGAAGATGAACATGAGAAAGAAATGAAGAGACTCTAACACAGGTTGGAGAGAAGAAGAAACCAATAGTGGGTTGAAGAAGAAGAAGCTAACACTAAGGGTGAAAGGCTGAAGTTGTAGAAGAAATGAGGAGTAAGAGAATGAAGAACAAGCTTAGGAGATGAATTACCAAAAAAGTTCAAGGAGGAGTGTTGGAATGTGAACACTTTTTGGTAATTGATGAAGAAAAGGCAATCAAGAAGAAAAGGCAAACAAGAAAAAAAAGAAATTTATGTTTTAGGCAAATTTCTAGTTTAGGAATTTGTAATTGAGAATATTTGTTTTCCTTTTACTTTGAGTTTTACTAGGAAAGAAGAATTGATTTAGGATTTTATTTAGAGTTAAAATAGGATAATGAATTAAATTAGAGGAGTCCTATTAGGATTAGAAATATAAATCTTAGTAGAAAAAGAATGTTCTATTTTACCTATAAATAGAGGGGTNAGATACAATTTATCAATATTATAATTGCCCTTTTGTTACATATATGGTGATGATCTGATTTCGGACTTCCTAATGTGTATATCCTGGCAATGTACGCAATTCATTAAAGAAAATACGTGCAACAACTGAAACCACATGCAGATTGATTGGCATTAGCTCCAATACAATACAACACAACCATTATGCTTCGGTCACAATTCGATCCTGCAATTAATCATTCAATGTATAATGTCAATAAGATAATGCTTGAGTTGTGCGTCATGACATTACCTTTAAGACAGTCCAATCAAAGTTTGTGCTACTGTTGATCATGAAATTTTTAGTTACTACTACCCCACTCCTTGGAAATTTGGGCAGTATACATAGAACGATAGTGCCATAAAGTTCAGTAGCTGACTTACCAGGCCGACATAATTTTCAAGCGTGCCGTAACATGCGCATGCATTTTCCTCTTTTCAAACTTTCAACTCGAATGATGGATCCAGAATATATAGGTGCCTATACCCTAAGTTGTCTATAAAGTTTATTCAGAAATTGTAACAGTAGTAAGAAGTTAATTTTCTACCAACTAATTATATGTGTCCACCTCATCCATCCCGACCCATTTGATTTTTGTTTCAACAAAATTTACGGTTAATGAAAAAATATATTAAAAGGAAAATATATTATCATCAATAAACAAGTGTTTATTCCTCTAAGATTAATTTGAGAGTGAAATTAACCACCACTGACGTTGGATGGTCGAGTGGTCAACTCGGAGATTTTGAGTTCAATCCACCTTGGTTGCTAATAAGGATGACTACTGGAGGTATACTTGATCGTTAATTTTAGTCAATGGTTAACTTCAGGATCTCGAGAGATTAGTTAAGATGCGCGTAAACTGATTTAGACACTTTTAATCATTAAAAAAAAAAAAAACCCATTAATACAGGCTAGGGTTGAGAGAAGGCCCCAGCAATTGTATAAGCGCACATGTTGGAACAAAATACACAGGCAAATTGTGTGAGGTGAGTAGAACATCCATTAGTAGGATTTAGAAGACAAGGCCACAAGGGGCTGTATATCTTTGTTTCTTCATGTTTCAAAAGCATATCAATTGTTTTCTCTTCTCATCTTACTTTCCCCTCACCACATTTAGTGCTTGCTTTTGAGTTGTAACACCAACTAGGACCACTTCAAAACAATTTCATTGGCAACTCCATCAATGAATTAAAAGAAGAAAGCGACTACTAAACCGTTTTGCGTAAAATAATGAGATCATTGATAGAATTTGAGGTGAGTTCGACTCCTCACACAATAAGGCCTTATTGGGTGAGCAGTCATGCCCACCTCAAATTCTATCATGGTATCAGAGCTCATGCTCAGTTGAGCTGAGTATTTGACTAGCGAGTGACGAGTTAGAGCCGACAACTATCTCCAATAACAGGCATGACCTAACATATGAGCTTGACCATGAGATAGAGTGTTAAAGTCCTAGAGAGAGAGTGTTGAAGTCCTACATCAACTAGGCACGCTCAAACCACTAGTTTATAAGAGGGGGTAATTTTCCCATTCAACAAAGCCTTATTGGGTGAGGAGTCAGACACACCTCAAATTATATCATGGTATCATAGTAGATTCAAATTTCCAACATGGTATTAGAGTTTATTTTCTTAAAGGACTCGTGGGAGATGAAACTTGGGGCCTATCATAGCCAAACTATCTTAGACCCGACTCACACCAAGTGCCACAAGGGAGTGGTAGGCAGGGTGGCCACGACGACAAAGGTGTCATTGGATTTGAGTGGGAGAGAGTGTCACGCCGAGCGCCCGAAGCTGATGAAGGTAGGTAGGGTGGTCAACTCCAAAATTCTCACATCAGGCAGGAAGGATGCTCTTGAGAAGATGAACATGAGAAAGAAATGAAGAGACTCTAACACAGGTTGGAGAGAAGAAGAAACCAATAGTGGGTTGAAGAAGAAGAAGCTAACACTAAGGGTGAAAGGCTGAAGTTGTAGAAGAAATGAGGAGTAAGAGAATGAAGAACAAGCTTAGGAGATGAATTACCAAAAAAGTTCAAGGAGGAGTGTTGGAATGTGAACACTTTTTGGTAATTGATGAAGAAAAGGCAATCAAGAAGAAAAGGCAAACAAGAAAAAAAAGAAATTTATGTTTTAGGCAAATTTCTAGTTTAGGAATTTGTAATTGAGAATATTTGTTTTCCTTTTACTTTGAGTTTTACTAGGAAAGAAGAATTGATTTAGGATTTTATTTAGAGTTAAAATAGGATAATGAATTAAATTAGAGGAGTCCTATTAGGATTAGAAATATAAATCTTAGTAGAAAAAGAATGTTCTATTTTACCTATAAATAGAGGGGTTAGAATCAATTCAAAGTTATGAGAGAGGAAATAAGAGAAAGAGATAATATGAGGATACAAGGGGTTTTGATGTAAGGGTACTACGGGTATCGCGTAAATACCAAGGGGTATTAAACACCATAGGAATGGGATGTCCTCTTAAGTAAAGGAACTAGGTTGATGGTGTGATGAAACACTTGTATCGTATTCATATTATTATAATGAAAACTCTCTCATCCGCTGCGATGTAGGTAAGTTATGCCGAACCACGTAAAATTTCGTGTGCCTTTGTGTGTTGTTCTTTATTTTTTTAATGTTTTTTTACTCCTCCGATTTTTAACATGATATTAGAGCAGATTCAGATTTCCAACAATATGTTGGATCACGCTTGTTATTGGAGGTAGCTGCTGGCTCTAACTCCTCACCCGCTGGTCAAGCACTCAGCTCAATTGAATATGGGCTTTGATACTATGATAGAATTTGAGGTGGGCATGACTGCTCACCCAATAAGGCCTTATTGGGTGAGGAGTCAGACCTACCTCAAATTCTATCATGGTATCAAAGCCCAGGTTCAGTTGAGCCGAGTGCTTGACTAACTAGTGAGGAGTACTTTGAGTCAACAACTACCTCCATTTAACAGACATGACCCAACATATAGGCTTAACCGTGAAGGGGAGTGTTAGAGTTCCACACCGACTAGACACGCTCAAGCATACTGGTTTATAAGAGGGGGTAATCTTCTCATTCAACAGGGCCTTATTGGGTGAGGAGTTAGACCCACCTCAAATTCTATCATGGTATTAGAGCCCAGGTTCAATTGAGCTGAGTGCTTGACCAGCGGGTGAAGAGTTAGAGCCGACAACTACCTCCAATAACAGACATTACCCAACATAAGGGTTTGACATTGAGAGGAAGTGTTAGAGTCCCACACCGACTAGGCACGCTCAAACTTACTAGTTTATAAGAGGGGGTAATCCTCTCATTCAACAATACCTTATTGGGTGAGGAGTCAAACCCACCTAAAATTTTATCACGTATGGGCTTGACCGTGAGAGGAAATATTAGAGTCCCACACCGACTAGTCACACTCAAACCTACTGATTTATAAGAGGGGGTAATCCTCACATTCAATAAGGCCTTATTGGATGAAGAGTCAGACCCATCTCAAATTATATCAATCATGATTTTGTAAATGACGAGGATCATTACGTAAATCTATAATGGTTATACCATTGTTGGTAATGAATTCAAGTGAAATCTAACCTGTTTATTCCCTAAAATATAGTAAATGAACGGCAAGTAAAGTGTATGCCCTGTGGTTACCCAAAAGGAGTTCAATTATATTACGGTTGTTAAAACATATAATGTATATTATCTTATTTTTTATTTTTATTTTTATTTTTGATATATTGTCCATGTTGCTCAAATGGGAATACCGCCATATTTTATTTCAGTAGATGGGCTCTGTTTCTTCTCACTGTTTGGGCCTCAGGATTTGGGCTTTGGTTTTTACCAATCTGAAACTAAATCCACAAAAGATCTAAAACGTTATTTTAGGTGATTTTCTTCACTACTTATTTCATCATATATAAAGCCTTACTTTCCTTGATCAGATTTCAACCATAATAATAATAATAATAATAAAACACTCAGTTCTCGTCGATGGCGAAAGACAAAGTTATGCACAGTGACATTATTATAACACATGGCTAGATGCTTTTACCACATTCAAATCATAAATTATCTAAGCTACCAGGTTTAGCTTTCCTTGTGATAAAATAGCTGTCATACACTTTATGGATCATTACATTCTAATTTTTTTTTTAAAAAAAAAAATCATGTGTGTTCATAAATTTCTTCCCGTTATGATGTTATCCAATTTGTAATATTCGAGTTCAAAGGAAACCATAATGTTGTCTAATAAGTAATAATAGTATTAATTATATTTATTAAATCCTTTAAGCAAATAGCTGTCATACACTTTATGGATCATTACATTCTAATTTTTTTTTTAAAAAAAAAAATCATGTGTGTTCATAAATTTCTTCCCGTTATGATGTTATCCAATTTGTAATATTCGAGTTCAAAGGAAACCATAATGTTGTCTAATAAGTAATAATAGTATCAATTATATTGATTAAATCCTTTAAGCTGAAGCAATTTTTAGATCAGTTTTAATTTATTCCAATAATATTATAAAATCATGTGTAACACTATTATTTGCGTATCTCATATGATTAACTTGTGAATTGAGACGGCATTAATAAAAATTCGATAGATTCTGCCAGTACTCTAGCTGACGCTCGAGGAATCCAGCAGCAAATGTCATAATATCAGATATTAAACTGAAAAGAACAGATACTAGCCTTGATCTTAGCCAAAAGGCCGGGAAAGGAATGCTTTTCTTCTTCCCTTCCTTTCTGTTTTGCAGTCCACGCTTATCAGCCTCCTCCTCCATATATAATGAGCGTGGGACTACAAAGAAAACGAAGGGAATTCTGGAATTATCTTTATTGACTTGCAGTCAGGGGTTAGTTCATAGAGTTTGTATGCTTCACTTTTTTCTTTTATTCTCAACACTTGCAGTAAGAGAGAAACAAAATTATATATGATACAAAAAAGTAAATATATCATACGTTATAAACTTTGGAGAATGGTAAACGTAAAATTCTTTAACAGTACAATATACAGCAAAAGAATTTGGCATTCCAATCCAAAAAAGAAAAGAAAAAGGAAGTTCTGAAGTCTGTACATATAATAGTCATGTGGACGAGCAATTAATAAAGCTAAAGAGCACCTTATATTCAGACATCAACGCAAGAAATTCATGTTACCATCTCAATTGTGTTCCCAAACTGTAAATTTTCCATGTAAGAACTGTCAACAAATCTCTCTAGCTGACCCAGAAACCTCATTGGATTTGGTTTTGTTTGCATCAGATTTAGAGTCATCTAAATAATGCTGATAGATATAGGAAACAAAGCCCCAGATTGCTAACAGCATGGCAAAGACCTTCACCGTTTGCATCTTATCATGGAAAAATATCACAGCAAAAATGGGACCAATAGGCAATGCCAAAGTACTAATGACATTGGAAAATAAAGAAGATACCTCAAAAATCAACCCCAATAAACCCACGGATGAAATTTGCCATGTAACTGCTGTCCAAATCAGAGTCATTAGATAGGATGCCTTGCCCTCTTCAAATTCTTTCATCTCTTTTGACAAACCTTTCCATTCTCCACTGGCAAATAATCCCACTACACAGCCACACGTTGCAACAAAAGATGGGTATACTTGCATATCCAAAACAACAGAAAATGTCTCTCTTTTTATAACCTTCTCAAAAGAAAGCTGCAGCAAGGAAAGGTATAATGAGTATAACGCAGATGCTCCTACTGTGAATAAAAACCCGATTACATACTTTCCTCTGCTAATGCCAGTAGTGTTATCAGAGTCTGCATTGACTGCAAGAAGTGAGGATGAAATTGTGAGAAGGAATAAGGAGTTGATTATGAAAGGAGTAAACTTTTGTGAATTGAGAAAGTAGGAGAAGAATGCATTAAAGGCCAATTGGGTTGCACAAAGTAGAGAATAAGTAGAAACAGGAACGTATAATAGTCCGTATGAGTACATCATGTTGTCACCTATCAATAGCAGGCCAAATGCGGCGTAGAGAAACAGAAGGGTGGTGAGTTTTGGCTTAGTTGTGAAGGAAGAAGCAACCGGATCGCTGTTTGATTTGGTGGAAGATGGGAAGAAAAACAGAAGGGGAAGGAGAATTGGGAAGCCAGCTGATTGAACAAATGTTGCCATCCATTTGCTATTTCCACCTTTGTCATAGTAAAACCTTCCTAGTAGAATAGCAGCTGTTTGGCCAACAAGAAGAAAGAGTATGTAGAGAATCACACGAAGCCACCATTTGTAGTGTATTAGCTTTGGAAGTCCCCATTTTCTGCCGTCAACTGGTGAAGTTAACAAATTAATAAAATATTAGATTCAAAGACTTCTGGAGAATCAAATCGATTGCAATTATAGAAATAATACTTTAATCTTCTCAAGGAAGATACATTTGGAATGATTGCTGCCAAAGCTGAGCTAATTAATTAATTAATATATGTTATTTTATCTAATATTCTAATTTCATATATATTGTCATGCTCGGGTAAAATGGAAAAGCATTCTCTATCTTTCTACTTAACAAAAAAAAAAGTGTAACTAGCACAACATCCCACCATAATAATCACCTGCTTAAATCTTGAAAATTGTGACTTTCTATTTATTTATTTGTTAGTTCTTCAATCAAACATTTGAAAAAATCAAGTAGTTCCCAGTTCTTGAGTTTACTTACGTAATTATTCACTTTGTATTTTTCCGATCTTGTGAAAGAAGCATACTAATTTTAGATATTTTCAATCTACTCGGAAAACTAATAGCAGTGAGAATAGGCAGATGTATGATGAACCCGCACGATAAATTTCTAATCAATTAAGTTGGGTGAGTGACCAACCTCTGGTTTGTAGTTGCAGCTCTCGAGCGGCCTCCATGTGCAATACCACCAACGGCTTAAAAGATCACTTCTATATATATATATATATCATTAATCATGCACTTCATTGGATGCCCTAGAAGGCTACTATCAATTTCAACAACCTAATGGCTGTTTTGTTCCCTTTTTTAAGTATCGTGAAAAAGAGAGAGTCCTATAATATGTTGCAATACAACCAATTAATTATAACTGGTTGTACTGTATCATATATACCCCTTCTATTTCGGATTGGAAACAAGCTCATTTACGTCAGGTAAATCTGGCATGTCAGGTATACGTTGTTTCATAAATCTCTACTTTCATGTGATAATTGAATCTTCAAACATGATAAATACATTATTTGCAGAGGGAACACCAGTTGGAATATCATGATAATTAATCAACCATGTTTTGCCGAGGTTAAGGGCGGAGCGAGAATTTCAATTTCAATTTCAATTTTAATTAAAAAATTAAGTTTTATAAACATAAATATATGAATTTTCTTTTATATCCAAATGAAATATGCTTTACTTAATATTTAAATTTAACTTAAAATTTGCATTAACATATGGCTTGTTTGGTAAGTGAGTAAAAAGAATTAGACTGAAATTTAAATATAAATACCATTAATATACATATCTAATTATAAATATGGTATATTTTTTTCTTTAAAATTAAACTTAATTAAGAGATAGTTCTGAATTTTATAGAAAGCATGTATACAAAAAGAAAAAAAAAAACATAGGTTACGTTTTCTCCTATGAGATCCTTTAAATATTAAACACGTTTGTTTCGTTCCAAAAAAAAATTTATTGCTGTCGATAATGATGAGGTTTTTAATACTTTATGAACTAGGCGTGTTTGTTTACTTGTTAGGTAGAGTTTGGTGATTATTATGAGATGAAATTTAAAAATTAAAAATAGTTGAATAATTTAGGATAAGATTTTGAGAATAGAGAAACAAATATGCATTTTGATTTAGAATATAAATAAGATAGGAAAACAAAAGCGTTTGTTTCGTTATTGAGAGTAGTATTTTTGAAATATTATTATTAGGTAGAGTTTGGTGGTTATTACGAGATATGATTTGAAAATTAAAAATAGTTGAATAATTTATTATAGGATTTTGAGAATAGAGAAATAAATATACATTTTGATTTGGAATAGAAATATGATAGGGAAACAAATGCGTTTGTTTAGTTATTTGGAGCAATATTTTTGAAATATTATTGTTAGATAGAGTTGGGTAGTTATTACAAGGTAGGATTTGAAAATTAAAAATAGTTGAATAATTTAGGATAGAATTTTGAGAATAGAGAAACAAATATGCATTTTGATTTGGAATATGAATAGGGTAGGGAAACAAATGCACCCGAATATTATGATAAAATATAAATAGGTTAAGTCAAATCATTAACAATAATATTATACTTACAAAGAAATCTTAAAAAGATTTATATACAAAGTGAAGTGGCAAAAAAATGAATGTAAGAGTGAAACAAAAAGTTAAACTCATTAAATTCACTCTTCCATTCATTTTTTGTTACATCACTTTGTATGGAGATCTTTGTAAATGTAGTATTACTCAATCATTAATTATGTAAGTTTCCGGCTTGGCTGAGAATAAGGGTTCGCAATCAACTTGCAGTTTATTAATTAAAATTAAGATAGATAATAAAATTTGACTCTCTATATATGGAGAGTCAAACTCACTTTTTAATTTATATTTAAAAGATAAAGAGTTTATTGGATTCTTGTTTTTATAAATAGACTTTTTATAGTAAAAAGTTTGAGTCGTATAAAGAGTCATTTGGATATGCTCTTAAGAGCATATGCAAATGACTCTTTATTTTGAAGACCATCTTTCATATAAATAAATAACATCTTCATTAATTTTAAAATATAAAGAACACAATTTTTATTTAAATCCAATAGGCTCTTTAAATTTAATGAAGATGTTCTTTATTTTTAAGAAATAAACTTAATGGGAGAGAAAATTAATAAATAAAATGCATAGGAAGTTGTAGCTTATTAATTAAAATTAGGATAGAGAGTGAAATTTGATTCTCTAAATGTGGAGAGTCAAACTCACTTTCTGATTTATATTTTAAAAATAAAGAGTCTGTTGGACTCTTGTTTTTATGAAAAAACTCTTTATAATAAAGAGGTTGGGTTATATAAATAGTCATTTGGAGATGTTCTAAGTCTCTTTCTTGAAAAAAAAAAAATTCTCTCTCCTAAAATTTAAAGAGTCGAATTTTGAGTAAAAAATTTGTTTTGTATATTTAAAAATTAATGAAAATATTTTTTTATTTATATGAAAAATACTCTTTAAAATAAAGAGAATAATTGGAGATGCTATTTAAAATAAAGATACTCTTTATAATAAAGAGAACAATCAGAAGATCTTTTAACGTCGCATATATCCTAACTAGTTATATTTTATTTTAATTTTTTTTGACATCATAAGTGTTAGCAATTATGTAAAAGTATAGCTTAGCGCTATTCACAGTAAAGGCAGTCTTAATTAGTCTGAGCTTCAATTTATTCTAAATTTTTTTAAATCACGAAGCCTGTATAACCATCAAACATGTAAAAACTCTTAGGGCGTGTTTGGTTGAAGGTAATCCCCAATTACTGACATAATATTATATTTTATTACTTGATTACTACGTTTGATTGTCAAATAATATAAGATTCTGGTGATCTTCTAAAACCAATAGTTGTTACTGTTGATAATATTAGAAATAATCTGATTATCTCAATTTTTTTAAGTATTTTAAAATTATTTAGTAATGTTATTTTTGTTACAATTATATCCCTTATTAATAAATTTTTTGGACAATAATGCCCTTATTTAAAAATTATTTTACATTTATCTGCCATTATAATTTTACCCCTATTTAATTAAGTTTTTGGATAATAATGCCCTTATATTTAAAACAAATTGCAGACTACCCAGGAGCATCGCCGCCCACCAACCACCACCAAGAGAATTCACTAGAAATGACCTTCGTGCGTTGATATGGACGTTTTCGACCATATTGATGGCCAGAAGCGGCAAGATGGCCATAGATTTAGCTAGAAACAGCCAGAACTATTATGGTCATTTCTAGCCAGATCAAAAGATTATGGCCATCAACAACTAGAACTCTAGCCGTTATTAGCAGTCAATTTTGGCGGCAGATCTGGCCATTTCCAGACAGATCCATGATGGATGATGGATCTAGCCGGAAATAGCCATATTAGCGCATGGCCAGCCAGATCCGGCCGGTCGTGAGTTGTTATGGCCACTTCTGATGTCGTCGACGATGGTCACAGGTGGTCGGCAATGGCTTGGGGTGGGTGGGGTGTTTTAGTTAAGTTTTAAATTTTTTTTGTTGTTAAGGTGTTTTAGCAATATCTTAAACGTACGGAGTTAAAAGAAATTATTTAAAAAATAATAATAAAACTAATATTATATTAATATTTTAAAAGAAAAACAATTTAGTAAATTATATAACATACCCACCAATATATTCTAACCAAACAAACATATTTCCCAAAATTTATATAACATTCATATAATGCATTCGTTGAAGTAAACACACCCTTAATCTTTAGCAAGAAATCCTTTTGCGATCCTTCCATTGCCACCGCTGGGGAAAAATCCACCGGGCTTGTATTCACTGCCAGTTCCATATACTATCCTTAATATCTCCTGTGGAGTTCGTTCATAAGATACAGAATTTGCGTCCGCCGATAAGACGTTACTTTCTGTCTTGTTCTCTGCTCCAAGTTGTAATGGCACTATTAGCCCTTCATCTTTGATGCCACACATGGCCAGCCGGTTCCTAAGCTGGGAGATATGGTTGCTGAACTCCGCCACTGTTATGTTATAAGGTAACACGGTCTCATTTGCTTTCTCGTATAACAATGCTCGTATTACTGCATCTTGTCCAGACTCCACTCCCAAGAGTCCCGCAACCAACTACAAAATTGTACATAGAGATTAAGTATATGCGTTAATTAACATATATATAAATAATTTCTCGAAAGAGAGAGAATCTTCTGATCTATTAATTACTTTTCGAGAATTGTAGTTGACGAGGTTTGGTATAGTGCCAACATAACCTACAAGTCCCACATAAGGGATAAGGTAGCATGCTAAGAGATAGTTGACAGTGTTCATGTAAGGATCGAATGGAGGTGCCAATTTGTAGCCAACTGCTTCGTCAAATATATCAGCAAAATTCTCAGTGCTGAGATTCAATAGAGGCCTTGGGAACCCACCAATTGTTGTTATAATAGCCCTAAAAGTGAAAAATAATAAACCATTAATTTATGAATAAAAAAACTATATATTAATTTTTAGTAACACTTTATATAAGTAAAATTATCATTAAGAGCCGACCTGAGATGACCAACTTCCTGATAACCAAATTCTTCCATGATCCGATTTGTAAGGGCGTCAAGATTGGCTTTTTTAGCGCCAACTGGAAGAGGACCGCCGGCTGCCAAACTTGGATCTATTGTGTCAACCCCCTTACCAAGTGCACCGTTCAAGAAAAACTCGGCTTCTAGGAACTCCAAGTTGAGAGCTACGTGAATACGTTCCTCATCATTAGCTATAATTGGTCCGCAGGAAGCACACATGACCATCCGGATATTCAATATTGTAATGAATAAGGCAAAAAGCAAAGATGAAGTAGCCATTTTTGTTTTGAACACATATAACCAACCAACAGATGAAGTACTAATTTTACATGCATAAGAGCAACAATTAGTAGCTTTTATAAACAATCAGCACACAGAGAAAATTCCAGGGCACACGTGTTTTCGTGATAGACACATGTTTCGGTAGATACTTTTATAATATATGCTTTTCAAGCTTTAAATATTGTTTGACCAAGAAAGACATTATTGTCACGCAACACACGAATGAATACAAGATAATAGCTAACTAACGTAGCAAATTGGAAACTAATTTTGGATTATTATCATATTTCTATGTGTAAGTGTCACTCTTGTTTGAATCAGTAATATATAACATGTATCCTAAA